TAAGGCAGTCTTTGTTTTGTTCTTCTGTTGTAATTAACTTGGACTGAATAGTGCTCTTTTCTTTAACCAGATTCTTAAGTTGCTTTTCATATGTTTCAATTTTCTGTATCAGGGCTTGTGTAGTAAAGATAAGTGGTTTCATTTTGGCCCTCCTCTTTCCCTAACAAGAACATTATACTTACTGATTATTTTCTTAAGTTCTCTAAGGCAGTCTTTGTTTTGTTCTTCTGTTGTAATTAACTTGGACTGAATAGTGCTCTTTTCTTTAACCAGATTCTTAAGTTGCTTTTCATATGTTTCAATTTTCTGTATCAGGGCTTGTGTAGTAAAGATAAGTGGTTTCATTTTGGCCTTTAAGGCTAGATTTTCATTCTCTAGTTCTGTTACTTTTTGCTGTATCTGCATGGATTCTTTTAAGTAATTCTGTAAATAATGAATTTTGGCAACACACTGCCCAGTGACAGAGTTGACTTTGGGTGTTTTCTTATTTTCAAATATTATTGATCCTTGGCTTACTACAAATGGCTGCCCCTCTGTGTCTTTCACTTTATGTTTCATTTGGTCAATCAGTTACAGTGTGTGTCTTGGTACTCTGGAGTGGAACTTGAAATCTGTAATATTTTTGCTGGTAATTGGAACATTTTTATTTTTCTCATTCTTTTTCCCCTGGCATTTTTCACTCTTAGATAGTTTTTTATATTTCCTACAAAAATTCACATGCAATCTTGGCACTGTTTCCTTGAGTGGGAGTAATTTGCTTACTAATGTCTCTAGTTCAGAAGTTCTCCTTAATTTTATATCCTCACTTAGGTTACCTTCCATGTTTTCTTCCTCAATAAAGTTTATTTTTGAGTTATGAATGGGAGACAGCTCATATTTACCATGAGTAACAGTATGTGTATTGGTTTTTAAAGTGTGAAGTTCATTTGTAAGTGCCAGTTCCTTGTCATGGGACTTTTGAAGTTGCTCCTTCATGTGTTTAATAGAGTGGCAAATGTCATCCAAGTTTTCACAAAATCCATGCTTCAGAAAAGGGAGAGGGATTGTGGATTTGTCCAGAACTACAGGACCAGATTGAGGCTTCACATTTTGAAGAACTGAAGGCAGAAAATGACAAAGACTATAATTCTTCACCATGTTAGAATTTTCAGAGGTGTGCATAATTTTGTCAGAAGCTGAGCTATCTGTTCCAGTTCTCAAATTCTGGACAGCTAACATGTCTTTGAAATGTATCTGGGATGGAATATTTATGGTCTTAGAGAGACTGTTTCCATTATTACTATTGAAGTTTTCTTCCATTGAATGAAGAGTCTTGTGATCCTCAAAATGATCAGTTTTCTCCATAGAAATGACTTCTTGCTTCTCCATAGGCTAGCAACAATAAAAAGCATATTATAAATGTCATTCCGCATGACCAAAATATTAAGATAAAATTTGTGCAAGGTTTATTTATACAAAGTTTTTGATTCACTAATGTAGCAAAGGGACTATATGCATGTCCCTATCTTTCTAGCTGAGAATGAACAAAATAGTATCAATTATTTTGAGATCTGCAATCATGCTCTTTGCAATTTGCTTTAGAATTGTGTTTACTTCCTTGGGGCAGGAGGGTGGGGATACATGGGTCAATCTCTTAATTTCAGAAACAGGAATGTAGTATATTTCAGGAGAACATTGTAGGAATGACCATAGGAAGGTTAAATAAGAATTTAAGGAAAACAAGTATTTCTGTTTTGGGGTTATTCATGTCTTGTTTTAGGTGATTTCATAGGGTCATGACTGACCTGGAAATGTGCTTTCTAATTGAAATGGACAATGATGGTCATTCTGGTTTGAATCTCTTCCACAGAATTCATTCCAGGTCTGTCAACCCTACATGGACAAGTAAGCTACCCAAACTGCCTTGTATTTGCCTAGGTATTTTCAGTATCTGGATGAAGTGAAGTGTTCCCCAAAGACTTTTCCAAGAGAAATAGGAACATTATAGAAATACAGAGATAAACACACTTCTTTAAAGGGTTTCAGGACAGGGATTTATGTTCATCGCTGACCACCCATGGCTCCTGTGAAGACAGGATGAATGCAAAGGTGAAAACAAACCAATTGTAGTAACAGCTTTTAAATACCAAATGCAGGAATTATTTACATAGAGAAACGTACCAAATCCTTTTCAGTATGTGTGCTGAATGCTAGATTTTTTTTCTGAGTTACATTGTGGGTTTTCTACTTCAATTATACTTTTGTTCAATATTTCACTAATTTCAGACTGTACCTTTAAAGAATAAATGGAGAAGGTTAGAATTTAATTTCAGATTTATAGCCTTATAGTTATGCAGAAATTAGATATAGTTGAAAGATACCTTTGCATGTCTGATACATTGTTATTTTTCATTAAGAAAACATAAGTTTAAACTTAATTTATTGTAATTGCTATCATTAAAAGGAATCTTTAGGAAATGAATGTATTTATTACAATAAAATCAGAAAGAACTTAGTAAGACAGTAATTTTTTTTTAAAGACAGGGTCTCACAATATAGCCCTGGTTGCCCTGGAACTCTTTATGTAGATTATGCTGGCCTCAAGCTCACAGAGATCTGCCTGTCTCTGCCTCCTGAGTTCTTGGATTAAAGGCATGTGCCATCACATCTGAGTAAAACAGTAAAGTTTTATGAACTATGTTTCAATAATTTTAAATGTTTTACTTTTTTTGGTCTTTTTTTGTCTTTTTTTGTTTTTTAAAAAAAATTTTTTTTTACAATTAAACTTACAGTTTTAACAATATGCAAAATATTACAGTAATTCAGATTTTTTGGCATAATGATTACAGATTTGATAAATACATTTTGTATCTCATAATAGCAATGAGGATTATACAAAAGCTATTAAAACAATTATGAGAATAAATTCTATTGTCA